TATGACGAAACGGGAATCAGTGTGCAGAAACATCAGAAAGTCTTGGCCGCGGAATCGGTACGTCAAAATTGGAAAACTCACGTCGGCTGAAAGGGGCAAGAATATTACCGTCCTTTTTTGCATTAGTGCGAACAGTTATTATCTCCTCCGTTTTTCATTTTTCCGAGACATAGAATGAATCAACGTCTGATGATAAATGCTTCTGCAGAGAGTGAAGGTGTTGCTCAACCAAAAGGTTGGATGAATAGCAAGTTTTTCCTACAATGGTTGCAGCATTTTACAAAATTTGTCTATCCATTAAAAGAGACTCTCGTGCTCCTCCTTCTAGATGGCCATAATAGATGGCATAATGAAACTTTGGATGTTATCAATTTTTGTAGGAATCATAATATTTATTTAATCAGTTTTCTATCACACACAACTCACAAGCTCTAACCATTAGACAGATCGTTTATGAAGCCTTTTAAAATTATTTATTACGAACATGTGATATGTGAATGAGAATAAACGCAGGAGCTCGAATAACCGACTATAACATTACAAGCCTTGTTAGAGAAGCATTCACTGAAGTTATTCAATTAGAAATAACATCTAATAATATTTAAATACACTGGAATTTATCCTTTTGATAAAAACATATTTTCAGATATTGATTATTTAGGTTGTAATATAACAAATACTCCATTAAAAGAAATAAGAGATCAACAAGATTTGATTTCTACGATGTCTCAAGCATCTAACATTCTTAAGGAGATAGATAAAGAGACACTAGAGACATTAGGTACGTACTTATCTACTAGTTCTGCTGCTAATATTTACAAAAACACTCTTAAATTGTTCCCGTTCCCGTAAAACTATACGGTGCTTCCTTTTCTGATTTTCTTCTCGATTGGTATACTACTATAAATTATATTATGTATTTTGATGCCCTAAATGATCGTGAAAATTACCGATAAGATCATTTAAGGCATCAAAATACATAATGTAATTAGACCTATTGATGCATGAACTGCACTTACTACGTAGTGACTGCACTCATAACCAAGAAAATCTGTCAGCTGCTTGCCGCACGTAAACACACGTGTGTTGTTATACAAACTTACAGACGTGTTTCTTCCTTCGTGTGATTTTCAATCGCCGAATAATTAATCGTTTATGATTGTCAGCGATTAATTAATAAATCGATTAATAAATTCCTCGTTCCATCAAGTGAGTGTAATCGAAGTGTCAATATGTTGAACGTGATAATTTATAAAAGAAAAATCTCATCGTGAAAACGTGTGACTTATTTATATTTACTTATTAATATCTACTTAAAGGCATTTAATATTTGAGTGAAGAAAGTGATTTACAATAAACCGTTGTGTCGAGCACTATTACGGTGCATTCAAATTTATTCCTCCGATTCAAGAAATTAGAGCAAAATGTAATCATTGAACATCTATAAAGTAATAACAATTTTATAATTAAGATAATAATAAGCTTTTAAAATGTATTTGGCTTACGTTTTTGTTTTATATATTCACACCTCTTTGACTGCTAAGAAGCGCGAGCGCGTTTCTCATAAGACTTCTCATAAGTATGTAATAATTGCTACGAGCGTAATAGCGCAGATAAAATTGTTAGAGAAATTTTTGTAAAAGTGAGAAATTAGGCAATAATTGCGTGCTACAAGTATTGTAACGCCTATTGACATACAATTAAGTCTAACAAGTTTTCGGTACATCGAATTGTAAGAAACGCTCTTAGAATTCGATTGAAATAATTGTTTGATTTGTATGTCAATAGTTTTAATTGCTTATCGCACGTAATTATTGTCTAATTTCGTTCTTTCAGTACATTTCTCTAACAATTTTATCAATGTAATTGAAAAATCCGATACACAAAGAATTCAATATTCATTTTAATTTCACTCTAATTTATGACTTAATGAAATTATCATATTTAAAGTATGTGAAAGACAAAGAGATAGTGTAGTAGAGGGGGAAAGTAAGAAGAAATGTTTTTATAGACGTGTGAATGCGTTCGATCAGTATGCCCTCTCCCCCCTCCCGCATAAAACGCTCGCGTCTAAAGTCACTATAA